CTGAGTTAGATATTTTGACCTGAAATCAAAGATCTTAGACAAGAAAAAGCATGAAAGATAACTTGAGTTATGTAGTAAAACCAGCAACAAAATAATCACTATTATTTTTATCCCCACGGTGGGTGTCAAACTGTTTACCTTGAAAATGGTAATTACAATTAAATTTGATTGTGCGGTTCTAAAAATACGTGATCTATTTTTATGCTAGTTATTTAGGCAATAAATGTTAAGTAAGAGACTAGGAAACAAGATAAGAGCTTGTAGATAGTATAATGACCAAACTAGAGGGCTGAAAATCGGGGCCTCGAGCTGGCGTATACGGGCCTCGAGGTCGAATTGGATGCTCGGCTAGGAGCAATCGAGAGGGGATTAACAGTTATGATGGCTTTGATGGAAGCCTTTTATAATCAATAATGGGTAATAAATGAAGAACAATAAACAGAACACAATGAATATAAACAATAAATGCAAGTAATGAGATCAAGGGAATATATTAGAAAGCAGAGAGAATGTTCTTATGTATTCAATATTGAGCATCAGATCCTCCCAAAATGACAAGGGTCCTCTTTTATATATAAGGGGAAAACCCAACATAGTACAAACACATGTGTAATTATTACATAATGTAGCTGGTACAACCACTCAATCAACCTGGTGTAGACTGTCACTGTTTGCACAGGCGTTTGTCAGAAGATACAGCTCCTAGGGAACTTCCCGCTTATCGGCAATAAACGCTGGTCCATTGTGCCCCGATATCGGACGCGAAGACTCCCCGAAGGCATCGAACCCCGGGCTATCTTCCGGGGCTGTCACGACCCAAAATCCACTAAGGGTCGTGATGGGGCCAGACACTGCTGTCAAGCAAGTCAATCATAAATACTTAATTTAGGACTTGTTTTAATAATGTTGAAAACTATGATTTTTTCCTTCAATTGTACTAGTAAAGGATAACCGTTTCGAATTAAATAAAAATGTTTGAAATTAATACAAATACCCCATAATCATCCCAGAATCCGGTGTCACAAGTGCATGAGCATTTACTAGGGAATGACATAAAAATACAGTAACTGTCTGGAATAGAAGTGGACAGAAATGAAATAATACAATACAATATTCTGAAGGAGACTCTGCTGGCTGCGGGGCGTCTCGATAAATGCAGCTCACCTAAGTCTTCGTACCAACCATGCCGTTATGCAACTACGCCACACGTGGACCTGTGCAACAAAAATGCACAGCAAGTGTAGTATGAGTACGAAAACAACGTGTACCCAGTGTGTATCCCGTCTAATCTCGAAGAAGTAGAGACGAGAAGTCGACTTCGACACTTACTAGTGGTCCAATAGTAATATATTATAAAGCGAATAATCGGATTTATTAAAAATGGTAGCAAATTCAAGTAAGTCAAGAAACAAGTAAACATTTCTTTCTATATTAAGAAGTTTCCAAATTGATAATCTATTACTTATTAATTTATCTCAAGCCAGGGAGAGCAAATATCAACATCTATAAATCTCAAGGCAAGCAATACAAGCATGCGCAAATCATGTCGAGGTCGTACAGCCCGATCCAACAATATTTAAATTGTGCACTACCAGAGGGTCGAATGGCGCGAACTATAGATGCATCTATTTAATCTACCGAGGCGTTCGGCCCGTTCCACAGTATATAAACACATTCAAACAGTCAATCAAGAACTCATCAAGGAGCAAATTATCCAAGAAAAGGATATTTCTCTATTAAAGAAATCAAAAAACGATGACTAGCCTTTTAAAAATCATTTACATGTTCGATATGTTTTAAGCATTTTTAAATTAACAACAAGATTCCAAATATTGCACGTAAAGCATGCTTTTAGGGTCCTAAACTACCCGAACTTAAGCATAATAGTAGCTACGCACAGACTCTCATCACCTCGTGCGTATGTAGCCCCCACAAATAGAAGCACATATCTAATTAATTCACCTATGGGGAGAATTCCCTCTTACAAGGTTAAAAAGGAGGCTCACCTCGCTCCGAAGTCTATGTTCCGATTTAAAAACGCGCTCAAACCTCCAATTCGGAGCCGAACGATCCAAAACTATTCAAATGGGGTAAGAACTAGTCAATACATACTCAAAAGTTTATAATTTGATTATTAAACCAATTTTCCAACCCTAAATGCAAGGATTCCTAAAATTCACCCTCGGGCCTACGTGCCCGGATTCCGATAATTCTTGAAGAAAGTTGTTACCCATTCTTATTTTTATCAAAACCCTAGGATTTTCATCTAAACCCTTGATTTTCCCAAATTTTCACATGTTAATCTACCCATAATCTATGTATTTAACTCATGTTTGTGTAGAAATTACTTACCTCAAAGTGCTAGGTGAGAGCCCTCTTCCAAAAGCTCCAAAATCGCCCAAGAGATGAAAGGAAATGAGCTTAAAGGACTAAGTCTCGAAATTAATAGCTGTGCACATGCCTCAGATGTCGCATTTGCGACACCTGGTTCGCAAATGCGACGGTCGCAATTGCGACAAAACAATCGCAAATGCGAACATGGGCCTCCCCTGCCAAGGTCGCAAATGCGACCAACGAGTCGCAAATACGGACTCTGCTAAGGTCGCAAATGCGACCAAAACATTGCAAATGCGAACTCTGCCTCAGGCCAGGCTCCATCGCAAATGCGAACTATTTCTCGCATTTGCGAGACCTGCAACTGCTGCTAAGAACACCAAAAAATCTAGTGTGTTTCCAACCTCTCTCGCACGTCCGAAACTCACCCGAGGCCCTCGGGACCTTAACCAATTATACCAACATGTCCCAAAACATGATACGAACTCGCTCGAGGCCTCAAATCACATCAAACAACGTCGAAATCATGAATCTCACTCCAATTCAAGCTTAATAAACTTTAAAATTTCAAACTTCTACTTTCGTTGCTTAAACCTATCAAATTACGTCCGATTGACCTCAAATTTTGCACTCAAGTCATATTTGATATTACGGACCTACTCCAACTTCCGGAATCGAAGTATGACCCCGATATCGAAAAGTCCACTTCCGGTCAAACTTCTCAAAAACCATCAAATTTCTATCTTTAGCCAAATGACTCCAAAATGACCCACGGACCTCCGAATTCACTTCCGATCGCGCTCCCAACACCAGAATCACCATACGGAGCTATTCCCAAACTCGAAATCCCAAATGGATATCGATAACACTGAAATGCACTTCAACCCAAACTTCTGAAATTCTTCAAAAATGCTAACTTCCACAATAGGTGCCGAAATATACCCGGATCTTCCAAAACCCGATCCGGACATATGCCCAAGTCTAAAATCATCATACGAACCTACTGGAACCTTCGAATCTCGATTCCGAGGTCGTTTACTCAAAACTCCAATCTTAGTTAATTCTTTCAACTTAAAGCTTCCGAAATAAAATTCTCTTTCCAAATCAATTCCGAACTTCCCGAAATTCGATTCTGACCCCGCATACAAGTCATAATACCTAAAGTGAAGCTGCTCATGGCCTTAAACCGCAGAACGACGCGCTAGAGCTCAATGACTTGTCGATTGTAAAATTGGTCTTCCCGATTTTAGCCGTATACAAAAATACTGTATATAAGATGTATGCTTGACGAATTCTATAAAATAAAAAATTGTATGCAAGTCGTATATAAATTCTATGTGTTTGACCAGATATGTACATATTTTGTAAAAAAAAAAAAAAAAACTAGCTACATTTTGTAAATAGAAAAACCTAGCTGAAACGGGTAAATATTATCCTAATTGTGTATCTATAATAAATATTCACCGAAAGAAATGGAAAGAAGGAAAGAAAAGAAAATGAGGCCTAGGTGTGCTATTTCATTTTGTGAATGCCCTATTCAGTATATTTCTCCAAGAAAAAAGAAGAGCACATGATTTTCTTTCCGTGGTCATTATCCCCAAAATTAAGGTGTTACAATTAGAACTGCTAACAGTTTATTCAAATCAGCTACATAATTAGTGTAACATTGAAAGTTTTAGGACCTCTTGTGTGTTTTATGAGTCCTATTATAAATTAGGATTTCTTCAAAAGTTTATTATCTATGACAATATATCGTCCAATATTTTATGTCTTTTCAATCTAGAGGGGATTTACATATATAATATATCTAGTTTTACGGTGACTATTGAAGTTATACTTATATTGCATAAAAATTTACAAGTTTACCTGCTTTAGGCTCAATTTCAGTTAGCGAATTTGAAGTTGAAATTCGCGTTTGAAGTTGCAAACTTAAGATGCACTTCAGATTGTTTTAGTCTAAATCATGCACTTAAGACTTTTTTTAGTCTGAAGTGCAAAAATTACGCCTAAGATGCACTTAAGACTTAATTGGCCAGTGCAACTAATTTTTTTATGCACTTGACTTTAGTCTAAACTCTGAAGTGCGAATTGCCCATAAATAAAAATTTCTTCGTTCCAGCACCCAAATCTATTTCAAATGAGCTCAAATTTGAAACATAACAACAAATCTAACAAACTCATTTTGCAACTAAGAGGAAGAAGAAGAAACCTCAAGCAGTAGCAAAGAGAGGAGCATCACATCAGCTCACTACTGTAAAATACCATAAATCGTCTTAAAATCTTCTCATAAACATCATGTAAATCCATTGTCACCTTTGCTTTCACAGCAACTAAGAAAAAGAAGAAAAAGAAGAAAAAGAAGGGAGGAGAAAATAGTCTGAAGTTACCTGTACTTTGAGTAATAATTAATTTTTTTTAAAAATTAATACAAGTTAAATGAGGGTGATCAAATAGCGCGCCCCGTGAAATTTTTACCAATCTCATTCCTCAACCATCTACAACCAAATGCCTTTTAGAATCCGAATGGGCTTTTCTTTTCCTTTCTTTTTTGTGATATGAAAAAGGAAATATGAACTCTTAGTAGCCACGCACTGTGTTTTTCAGTTTCCAAATAATAAGTTTGAAGGGTTGGGAGAAAATAAAAAGTTTAGAATTAATACTGCATGAACGAGAATAAGCTTTATGAATATGCAATTAAATCAGGCTTCTTTACAACCATTATTCATGGAAATATAGATACATTAAGCAAGAAGCAGCAAAGGGAAAAAACGCAAAAAAGATCTTTCACTCGTATACCTTATTTTTTTGTATTTGCATGCTTTTAATGCTTCTATCGAATTTGAGCAAATTATTCCAGCAGCTACGACCAACAAATGTCAGGAAGACCAATAAACAAATCAGTCTCCACCTCTGTATTCTGGACACTATGGCTACAGCTTGCCGTTTCTTTCTGTTGGGATATTCGTGTTAGGGGAGGTGGTGGTGCTTCTGGTTTCCGCCTTAGCCCACACTATCAACATGATGATAAGAATTGTCAACAAAACCAGTTCATACATAAACTTTATGAGTAATATTTTGGACACTGATGTTATTTAGAACTTTTACAAGATTAGATTAAGTTGATTTTGACAAGAAAATGGACCTTGGACTTAATAACTCCAAACTCTAGTTTATGAGGTTAGAATTACCTAAGACCATATAAGAAGTCCAATTTTCCTTCTCATAGCCAATATGGGACTCAATGGCCCTGTACGCTTAGGACTGAACATCTAGAGTGTGAACAAAATAAGATGGGGGTCAAACATCGAGTAAACAACAAAGTGAGAATTCTGATACCATGATAAGAAAATGAACTTTGGACCTAACTCTACCCTGAAAGTTAGCTCACGAGATGAGGATTGCCCAAAACCATATAAGAAGTCCAAATTTCCTTCCCACATCCGAATGGAACTCAACGGACTTACAACAACAGGTAATTTCTCATATCAAGATTGATATGGTAACCTAGAAAGCAGAGTAATTAACGACCTCTTCTAACTGGTATGGTATATAATTTTTTTTACTGTTAATGCATATAACTTAAACTCATATTTTAGACAGGCTTCAAACTTTAATTATTGGGTCTAAGATTGCTTTAGCATTAACATTAGTCGTATATAATTGCAGAGTTTACTCTCACATGTGGTTCTTGGAATTGAACATGCAGTTTCATAAACTGTAGAGCTTCATTGATCTAAACCCCTTTAAGTTAATTTAGTTTAGAAGAATAAACCAAAAAAAATGATACAAACATGGCCCCGACCACTTTGACAAGATATATTATTATTATTCGGCAGAGCAGATATATGGGAAACTTAATTAATTCACCTCTTCAGATAACCTTTCATTTTCTTCAAGCAATTGTTTTTCCTGCACAAGAGGAAACAAAAGGCTGCTAGTAGAGGGAACATTTAAATAAGTAGTACTAATTAATAAACACCCTGAAATGCGTTGAAGTTGTTTCATCATACCTTGGCTTTTAACCGTTCTATTTCGTCCTTCAATAATTGAGTCTAGAAAATGACCAATAAACAACTGGTTAATCAATGAAGGCAAATCACTTATACATTTTAGGAGTCACCAATTACCAAAGAGGAAGAAAAGGGAATCAACTCCTCTTTGCAGGACACATATTGGTTACACTATCCGCGTATATAATTTAAATTGGTATATTAATACCTTTCTTGCCCTGATATTCTTCAGGCTTTTTTCCAGCTGGCTGTCGATCTCTTGAAGTTCATTCATTGAACATGATCCAATACCTTGACCCATTAGCTTCCTAAGCATTTCAAATTCAAGATTGCACTGAATATGCTGAGAAATATAAAAGAGAGAGTATCACAATGAAGAATGCAGGGGGAAATGTAACTGCTAGCACAATACCTCTTAGAAACTTCAAGGATCTCGATCTTCTTTGCTATGTTTGCTGTTTCTTCCTTCAAGTGCTGCAAATCAAAATCAATTACTATGTAATAGCATGAGGAGAAAACATGGGGAAAATTTCCACGAGGTGAAAAAAAAAAGAATTGCTTATCTGATCCATCTTTACATCACAACTAACAACTTTATGTTCTTTGGGGTGATCATTTCATTTACTGATTGAATATAAACATATATATTACAAAATTATAAACACGTAATAATGGGGGATTGAATTGATCCATGTTTGAGTAATAAATGATGAAGTAAATGTATATTCATCTTTTGGGGGCAAAGTAGGGCATGTTATGTTGGAATAGTAGTGGAATAACAAAAATAATACTGCAATATTATATTATTGAAATCAAAATAGCAAAAATATATTTGGAGAATAGGGGCATGAGGCCTGACCTTCTCAGAATCTCAAAAATAATTGGCATTTCAAACTCGAGAACAAAAGAGACTATAGTGTAGTTTGTATAGGTGCTTTACAATGTACTTCTTATAGATATCCCTATCAGGAAGGTCTATCTACTGAGATCCTACTACAAAATCATCCTAGGGAGTTAGAAACTAATTTATTCTTGCTATTTATCTATGCAGTTTTTCTATCCACTCCAATTCTTTCCTATTTTGCTGCATGTGCATTCTCATCTCAACTCTGCAGAATCCCTCCTCCTTGATTTTCTGCCATACTTTCTCAGCCCATGGTACCTTGTTTTGCCATAGAGCTACATTCCTTGCCTTCCGTTTGCCATATATAACTGCTGCCATTATTGTTATCACAAAAGCTGTACATAGTTTCTCTTTAATTACTCTGCTCAGTCTTTTCCAGATCCCCTGTAGATCAAGCTATCTGAGTCGAATACCCAGCTAGTTAAGCATTGCTTCAATACATTTTCTGGAGGATTGACAGTTAAAGAATAGTGGTTGCAAGGATTTATCATCTGCACCACCAAGTAAGCATGTTCTATCTTGTCTTATACCATATTTGTTTAGTCTATCCAAAGTTGTATAAAGTTGTTGCAAGGATTCATCATCTGCACCACCAAGTAAGCATGTTCTATCTAGCCAGCATATAAAGTTGTGTTTTGGTAGGTTATTCTTGTTCCATACCCATCTTTCATAAGGCCATTGTTCTACCTTCCCTCGACTCTATTTATATCCTTTCTTTACTGTATATTTGTTTCTTTCCTGTAGCCACCCTTTCTGTATAAAACCAGGAGAATAATTATTCTTGATTGTACATATTTTCTTCAAGTGCCAAGCGCAGTCCTGAGGAGGTTGATATTGCCACCATTTTGCATCTTTTAAGTATATATGGTTTACCCATTGAACCCATAATGTATCACTCTTTTTGGCTATATTCCACAGATACTTGGCTAGAGCTGCATCATTCCAGGTTATGCATTCTGAGATGACAAGTCCTCCCTCTCTTTTTGGTCTACATACTATGTCCCATGCCACTAGTGGGGCCCTACTACTTATTGCTTTCGCATCCCACAGATAGTTCCTGCATATGCTAATAATGCTCCATTGTCTTCTTTGGTAGCATGAAGATAGACGCACAATAGGTGTGAAGGTGCATTAGTACTGCATTTATAAGCTGCACTTTCCTTGCATAGTATTGGTTCCTCAACCGCTACCCTTTGATTTTAATCAGCAACTTGTTCATTAACATTTCACAATCCACATCATTCAACTTCTTTGATGATACAGGCACCCCAGGTATATGAATGGTAATGCACCTCTTTGATAACCTGTTAACTCACATAAATTTGCTATCTCTAGCACATTCATGTTTGCACAATATACATTGGACTTGCTTACATTTACTGTTAGACCTGATGCCTTTGAAAAATTCTCAAACCCTCTAAGCATTAATAGCACAGCATGAAATTCTCCTTTACAAAATATTAAAACATCATCACCAAAGCATAAGTGGTTTAACTTCATCCCTTTACTTCTTGTATGATATGCAAACCCCTCATGTTTTGCTAAATAGGCTATAATTCTGGTGAAGTATTCCATGCACACCATAAGTAGGAGTTGTAAAATTGGGTCACTTTGCCTAAGTCCTCTCCTCCCATTAATATTGTCATATGTTCCTCCATTCAACGCAATATTATACGGGAGTGTGGATGCATGCCATTATCACATTATGAATTTCCTAGGAAAATTCATTGCATAGAGCATTTCTTCAACAAATTCCTATTCCACTGAGTCATAGGCTTTCTTTAAGTCGATCTTGATCAAACAAATTTTGATGAAGTTCTTTCTTACCTTACCAAGTCTTGGCACACCAATATATTCTGCTTAATTGTTCTTCCAGCCATAAACGCACTTTGATTGGGTGAAATAATGCTGGGCAGAACCGTCTTCAGTCTATTGCACAACATTTTGGAGATAGTTTAGATTGTATTGCAGCATGCAATGGGTCTATAGTCTCCAATTGTTGTCGCAATACTTCCTTTTGGTATGAGTGTGATCAGTGTACTATTTTAGGCGAAGAGCATTCTTCCTTCTTGAAAGAACTCCAACACTTCACATGTTACATCCTTCCCAACTATGTCCCAACTATCTTTAAAAAATTGACTCGCATAACCATCTGGTCCTGGTGCTTTATCTCTTGGAATATCCCATAAAGCTTTCTTGACCTCGTCACTTGAGAATTATGTTTCTAACATGTTTCTTTGATAAGCTGTTATCACCTTTCCTGCTTTAATTATGTTACTGGCCACATGCACCCTTTTGTATTGTGCAGTCCCCAGCAATGCTTTGTAGAATTCCTAAAATGCTTCTGCTACTTCCTTTGTTGAGGTCACTGTTGTTCCATGTATATTCTTCGCTGTAAAAACTATATTTATTGTTCTTCTTGCCTTTATCATGTTGTGGAAGAATTTGGTATTCTGGTCTCCATATTTTAACCATTGCACTTTACTTGTTTGCTTTAGGAATTCATCTCTAGCCTTCTTCCAATAGATACATTGTTTTGTCGGCATGACCTCCTAATTTATCAGCTTCTCATTTCTAGGATCCTGCTGCCTGACAGACCCATGGATTCTGCATTGCTTTATCTGCTTGCTTTTCTGCTTCTGTATCTTTGTTTAACTTCATGAATATTCTCTTTAGTCTGTTTATCTTCCCTACCAGCTTGTACATTTTTGTCCCATATATGTGTTTAGACCAGCTTTCACTCACCCTTGTCTTGAAGTCCTCAACTAGACTCCACATGTTATAGTATTGGAGGTTTGGAGACAGACTCTTGAGTCTAAGGGTTTCAAATTGAGCAGGTCTAAGGCAGAGTACCTAGAGTGCAAGTTTAGCGTTGAGTCGAGGGAAGTAGGCGGGGACGTGAGGCTTGGGTCACAGGTCATCCCCAAGAGAGATAGCTTCAAGTACCTTGGGTCGATCATTCAGGGAGACGGAGAGATCGACGAGGACGTCACTCACCGCATAGGGGCGGGCTGGATGAAATGGAGGCTTGCATCTGGAGTCTTGTGTGACAAGAAAGTGCCACCGATACTCAAAGGTAAGTTTTATAGAGTTGTGGTTAGACCGGCCATGTTGTATGGGGCAGAGTGTTGGCCGGTTAAGAACTCTCATATCCAGAGGATGAAAGTAGCAGAGATGCGGATGCTGAGGTGGATGTATGGGCACACTAGGATACACAAGATTAGGAATGAAGATATTAGGAAGAAGGTGGGTGTCGCCCCTATGGATGACAAGATACGGGAAGCGAGGCTCAGATGGTTTGGGCACGTGCAGAGGAGAAGCCTTGATGCACCAGTGAGGAGGTGTGAGCGGTTGGCCGTGGTGGGTACGAGAAGAGGTAGAGCGAGACCTAAGAAGTATTGGGGAGAAGTGATCAGGCAGGACATGGTACGACTGCAGATTTCCGAGGACATGGCCCTTGATAGGAAGGCCTGGAGATCAAGCATTAGGGTTGTACGATAGGGGTTGTAGAGCTTTCCTTACTTCATACCGGGGGTGAGGCGGGGTTGGATTAGGGTTGACCTTAGATGACTTGCAGTTTATGTTGAACCCACACTATTCTTGCTGTTTATCTTAGCCCCAGGCCTTAGACCCTGGTTACTGTTAGTGCATGTCATTCATCTTTTGGTTTTTATGCTTCTGTTACTATTATGGTTTCTACTGGAGTTACTAATGAATTCTCTTTTCTTGTTTGTTATTTCCGTCTTTCTGAGCCGAGGGTCTATCGGAAACAACCTCTCTGCCCTATCGAGACAAGGGTAAGGTCTGCGTACATATTACCTCCCCAGACCCCACTATGTAGGATTTTACTGGGTAGTTATTGTTGTTGTAATGATCAAACAGTCCCTCTTGCATATATGCACGTCAGAAGCAGGATGGCTACAAAATCAATCTTTTTTATCAATACCTTGTCGATTCTACTTATTACTCTATCGAGACCCTGTTGCTTGTTATTCCATTTTTATCAGAAGACTTCATATCAAATAAGTCACAGTAGTCTAGGGGTGTCAATGGATATTTGAAAACCGACTAAACCGACCGAACTGCACCAAACCGAACCGATTTTTAGGTTTCTTTCAAAAAACCCGTAGATTTTTATATAAATCTATAACTGTACCGATAATTAGGGTAGGTTTTTTATTTTATAAAAATAAACCGAAAAAATACCGAACCGTACAAAATAAATTTTATATGTGAAAAATATATTTATATAGTAAGTTTAAATATAATAAAGCATTAAATTTTTCTTTGGGTCTTGGAATTATGAAAACTATTACAAGCCAACAAGTAATTAAACTCAAAATACCTATTCCTAAAACCTATTATGCTACTTCTACTTAAACTAAGTTATTTCAAGTATTTGTATTAGCAAGACACAAAGTATTCTAGCAATTATGATTAGTATTGAATATGTTTCCTTTCATATAATTTAGATTTATCTTTTTGAATATTTAATCTTCTATTGACTTTATTCTTGGGTCCCAACTTGGTTAATATCTTTCCACTCGTGTGATTGATATTTTCTTTGCTTTTACTTGGATGCTTTTATGTTGCTGTAGAATAGTTGATGGATCTATACTCTAGTTATCTTTCATGTTTTTTTAATTCATCACCCTTTAAACGGTAAAAATATCTATAGACTTTTGCTAGGTCATATAAAAGAACATATGCTACTGCATTCTACGTCTACTAGTGAATTTTACATGACATTAAAAGAAATACCAAAAAATAATCGAACCGTACTGATACCGAAGAGAAACCGACGTGATTGGGATGGTTTCGAAAAGTTTAATTTTGGTTATACATAATAGAATAACCGAAAAAAGGGTATGGTATAAATTTTATAAAATAGTTGACCGAACCGAACCATTGATACCCCTACAGTAGGCCACAAGGTTTCTAAAGTCTCTGATTTCGGCAATTCTTCCTACTTTGTCCTCTTGATGTAGTAGAGAGTTGAAATTTCCCATCACAACCCAAGCACCTTGCATTTGTCCAGCTAACAGTTCAATGTCTCTCCACAATGTCTTTCTCAATGCGTGATCATTATATCCACACACCATTGCGATGTTGAATTTCTTCCTTGTTCTTAAATGAATAATCTCACTATGAATTAGTTGCTCAGTTACCATTCGCTACAAATAATTAAGGTTTCCACAATAGCCACACCCTTCGTGCTGGATGGGATGAATGATTGATAACATAAGTGTGAGGTCCATACTTCACCTACTACATTGAATAAAAGAAAAAGAAAAAGGAGTGATTGACGGGGAGAAAAACAAAACAGTGGGTGCCAATGGTTTG